GATCTACAAGGTCCCTTCCGACCCTACTTCTATGATACTAGCCATAACTACATCATTTACAACACCCAAACGCTTAAACTAAAACCAAGTAGTAGTTCAGTGCATCATAAATCCTACTCTACCTACATAATAAAACAAACATATTGTGAAGGACACAGTATTATGTAATTCATTACAACACAACAATTTTAACTTTGGCCAAAATGAATAGTATTGTTTCACTAGTGATCTAAAATACAGACACACACACAGTGTCACAGTGTGTGTATGTGTTATATACTTATATAAAAATAAAATTATGGGCGACATCTTCAACAGGTAAAGATCCATTTTTTTATTTTTTACCTCTGTCAGTGGGTTTGATGATAAATCCAGTCTTTTCAAGGATGTGTTACTAAGAAACTCTAGATCTTCTTTTTTTAACTCAGTTATTTTATTGTCAGAGAGCACAAGCTCATGAAGGTTCTCCAGCTGCTGCTGTGATCCTAATTTTGCAGACTTCAAATGATTATGAGAGACATCCAAAATGATCAAATTCTGGGGAAGAACACAAATGTCAAAATATGGCAATAAATCATACATCTTTTTAATTATTTTAGGTCTGATTGGTTAATATACGGCCACAATTAGAACACAAATTGTAACGGAGGACCAGTGGACATACTGGAAGGCAATAGTCTGTCTGGCTCAGATGTCATCAAAGATAACCAATATGGGAATCCCTAAGGTAGGTGACTAACAACAAGCTTCCTAACCCTCTCCCTGTCATTCTCCTGCCAGAGGAAACCTCTTGCCATATTTTATGTCAATCCACAGGGAAAACAAATTAGCCTCCACTGGTGTGACCTCATCAGGACCTGACACTTGGTACAAACCAAAAGCAAACGGTTTAATACAGGTTTCCCTCACTTTATGCAGGTTCTGTGTGTGCATGCATTCACTCTTATGCAATGACCCCTTTTTATACCAAAAATTCATTATATGTGAGGTAAATTCACTCTTATGCAATCAGTGTGGTGGAAGCCCAGTCAGCTGCTTTGTGCAGTGCATTGTGGGAGTGATGCACACCAAAATATACTCTCCTGTGTGGATCTGTGCTCCTCACTCATTGCTTACGACACATGTTTCTGTAGTTACCATCCCCACTAAGATAGTGCCCTGTGCTTGTGTGTACTGTCTGCTGTTGGTGAGTACCAAAATGGTCTTGTAAAAGTGGTAGAAATGGGTCTGAGGGGCAGTACCGTTGAGGTCTTGGCACCGATCCCTATTTGTTACATTGTAAAGTGGGTTCCCTTTATGCAAATTTGAGTTATGCACTGTTTTTCAGGAACACATGTACAACATAAACCAAGTGAAACCCGTACACTTTCTCCCACCAAAAGGCCTCATAGCTGAAGGAATAACAGAGTGTGTGCCCAGAGACTTGAATTCTATTCACATGACTCTGGTCCCTAATATTATGTACACAGTGGGTGCGCCTACACGAGACGCAGTACTGAACATTAGCCTATTTGCTGAGCAGTACAGGCAAGTGTCTACACGTGTGCGCTGTTACTGCACAATAAGTACCCTTAACCATGCAAACGCGGGTAGCAAATTTAAGCGTGATTAGTAAATGTGCAGTAATGCACATGTAAATGTGACCTGGCAGCAAATTTGCTGCCGGGTCTGCCCAGCCACTAGGGAGCCAGCCTGAAGCCAGCCCTAGAGCTGCAGCCTAGGAGCCTCTCCTGCTCCATGGCTGGGCTACCTCTGTGGCAGTCTGGAGCTGCAGGCCATAAAAGCATGCAGCCATTTTGTGCCCTGGAGCACACACACCACAGGCAGCCTGAGGGGTCTGCAGGCTCTATATGCTCCTCTAGGCAGGTCACAGCCTACCTGTGCGTGCCTGCCTGGAGCTGTGTGCTGCAGCTTGCCAGGAGGTGCCACCACCCAACAGGCTCAGAGGCAGCATGGCTGGAGGCCCAGGAGGGCAAGAGCGGTCCCAGCAGTGACCTCCTGGAGCCCCTTGTCAGTGTCACTGGCAGCAGCAGCTGTGTGGCAGTGGGGGCCCTGGGAAGGCACACAGCTGGTAGGCAGGTGGTCGCCACATGTGGGGAAGCCAGCTGTGGGCAGCCACTGGTCAGTGTAGTAGTGGGCCACCAGGACTGAGAGACCCTGTTTCTCACTGCCAGGTCCAGGGGCTGGGACAGCCATAGCAGAGGGAGGCTCAGTGGACACAAACACAGCTGCCACGTGCTTCCTCTGTGTGTGCCATGCTGCTCCTCTGCACACAGGAACTGGCTGCCCAGAGAGCACAGAGCAGGGCTGGGTTTTAAAGATGGCTGCTAAGTACTGGCAGCTGGCACTGGCTTCAAACATGACTGCCAGGTGCTGGCAGCTGGGGCTGGAGTCATCGCCTCCCCCCCAGTGGCCACTGGAGTGCATGGGAAGGCTGGAGGGACCTAGCAGCAAATTTGCTGGCAGGTCCCTGCACATGTAGACACCTAGCCAAAATTGCTTACTGCAAAGTAGCTTACTATACAGTAAATCTAGTCACGTCTAAATGCACATGTAGACACACTCAGGGGGCGTGTCTATACCAGACACCTTACTGCACAGTGCAGCAAATTATTGTGCAGTAAGCATCACAATCTATATGTGCAGCCCCTTACTGCCAGTAATTTCCTCTACTCAGCAATTAATTTGATACCTGCAGGTAGCAATTATTGTGCATATTCAGGTAGGAAATTAACTGCTGAGTAATTACTGTGTAGTAAGCCACATGTAGATGGCCAACTGGGAGCAAATTCACTCCTGGTCAGCCAGGCAGCAGGCGGCAGGAGATTGCTCCCTGCCCCCAGGAGTTGCCTGCTGCCAGGGTAGGCTCCAGTCATGAAGCCCAAGCAGGGATAATGTCCTCCTGCCCCAGCAGCAGGGAGATCCTGGCCCTGGCTCTGCGATTGCAGAGTGGGGGGTGGGAGATTGCCCCTGCCCCAGGGAGCTGCCTGCTGCTGGGGTGAGCACCAGTGGCACAGCCTGTGTGGGTACAATATCCTTCTGCCCTGGCAGCAGAGAGCTCCCAGCCCAGGCTTTGTGATCACATGGGTTCATTAGGGGCAGGTCCTGTAAGACCAACCTGATTGCCTTCTACAATCAGGTCACAAAATCATTGGACGCAGGTGTCATGGTGGATATAGTCTTTCTGGACTTCAGGAAGGCCTTTTACACTATCTCCCACCCCATTCTCATTAAAAAACTAGGTGACTGTGGCATTGATGCCTACACAGTCAGATGGGTTGTAAATTGGCTGAGGGGCTGCACCCAAAGAGTGGTGGTGGATGGGTCATATTCGACCTGGAGGGATGTGGGCAGTGGGGTTCCTTAGGGCTCAGTCCTCGGGCCCGCACTATTCAATTTCTTTATTAGCGACTTGAAAAAGGGGGTGAAAAGCACCCTGTTCAAATTCGCTAATGACACCAAGATTTGAGGTAAGGTGGGCATATTAGAAGGGAGTAACAGGCTACAACGAGAACTGGACAGGTTACAGAGGTGGGCGGATAAGAATAGGATGGGATTCAATACTGACAAGGGCAGGGGGCTGTACTTTGGCAGTAAGAACCAGCAGCATACCTATAGGCTGGGGAACTCCCTTCTCGAAAGCACAGTGGCAAAAAGGGATCTTGGACTCATTATCAATTCTAAAATGAGCATGGGCCACCAATGTGAGGATGCAGTCAGTAAGGCTAACCGCATTCAAAGATGCATCACAAGCAGGGCCAAGGAGGTGATCCTCCCTGTCTATGCGACACTGGTCTGGCCACAGCTGGAGTACTGCGTCCAGTTCTGGGCACTGCACTTTAGGAGAGATGTAGCCAGCATCAAGAGGGTCCAGAGGAGGGCCACTCACATGATCCAGGGAAAGCAGGGCAGATCCGATGAGGAGAGACTATGGGGCCTGAACCTGTTCAGCCTTCACAAGAGAAGGCTGAGAGGGGACCTGGTGACTGTCTATAAACTTACCAGGGGGGACCAGTGGGGAACGGGAGAGACCCTGTTCACCCGAGCACCTCCCAGAGTAACAAGGAATAACGGCTATAAGTTGTTTGAGAGTAGGTTCAGGCTGGACATTAGAAGGCACTACACTTCACAGTCAGGGTGACTAGGATCTGGAACCAACTTCCAAGGGAAGTGGTGCTGGCTCCTACCTTGGGGGTCTTTAAGAGGAGGCTTGACAATTACCTAGCTGGGGTCATATGAGCCCAGTATTCTCTCCTGCCCAGGGCAGGGGGGCAGACTTGAACATCTACTTAGGTCCCTTCTGACCCTACATCCATGAATGAGTACCCTGCTGCTGGAGGCACAAAGCCTGCCAGCAATCTCTCAGCCTCTGCCAGGAGACAGTTGTCTCCTGGTTCCATACTTCCTACTAACCCCTGGGCTAGCACCCAGGGAGAGCCTAGAGCTCCCACAGGCTGCTGCAGGGGGGCAGAGCAGGGTGGGAGCAAGCCTCTGCAGGCTGCTCCCACTGGGAGCAGATCTGTTCTCAAATGCCTGCTGGTGTAGATACCTGCCCAGGGTGGGTTTACTCTGTAGTAAATCCATCCAGCAGCACTTGCATATGTAGACGAGCCCAGTAAATACCAATATAACACAAATACCTACATTATTCACAGCTGGCAAGTGTAGCACAGGGTTTAAGGGATTTGTCCAGACTCGCCCAATTCAGAAACCCCAACCTGAAAACAATAATCAGAACCCACCTATAGGGCACACGTCCCTATTGCAATACAGGACTTTTATTTTTTTGAGATTCCCTGACCTGTGTAGAACTGGGGCAATAGGTTTATGCTAGTCCATATCAAAGTCCCCCATGGAACCTTTGAGTCAAAATGAGGGAATTCAGGCAAGATCAGAATAGAAAGTAGAGCTGTGCAGAGTTCAGTTCCTTATTCCATCTGTGAAAATGAGGATGTGCAAAGTACTGTGGTTTGGGAGGTGAGAGAATACAGAGCCTCATCGAAGAGCTGGGCAGGACTGCTGTGGTGCTCTAGCTGTTTGCTGCAGCTTTTATTTCAAATGGCACTTTCTGCCTCTCTGACTGCTGAAGCCACAGCAATTAGCTGAGCAGCTCGTTTGTAATTCAGCCACCTAGTGGGCGTATCTACACAAGACACTGTAGAGCAGTAGCAACAGCTCTTTGCTACAGTGCTGTAGCATCACCGGGCACAAACCATGACAGTGACGCTACTGTGCAGAAGTAACAAGCTACTGCACAGTAGCATCTAAAAAAAAAAACTGTGCGGTGACAGGACTGCACAGTAATGCCGGTTACTGCACAGTCCTTTAGAACTTGGTTAAGCAAGTACTAAATGACTGCACAGTAACAACTACGCAGTCCACTGCTTATGTAGAGGCAGCCAGTGTGAATTAACTGGGCTGTGAACCACTCAGATATGAAGAATCTGCATTCTACAGCACTAGAAAGCACAAAGGTCTCTCAAATTAATTTTGGCTTTCCCTGAGTCAATCTCAGCCAAAATGGAGAAGCAAACCTTTTGCCTCTTATACTCTAAGACTTAGCTTTATGTATTACTTAACTCCATGTGTAAAACACGCTAACTTATTCTTACTTACCTTTGTTAAATTCTCAGAAGAGGTATTATACTACAAATGAAGCCTAATTTTTGTTCTAATTTTAAATAAATGGAAAGGCTATATGATTTAACTAAAAGGCGCTGTAATTTAGTAAATAAAACACTGACCTTCAGTTAGAGCTGCATACTAATTATTTAATATCTTTGGGCCTATATTTCCCCAAATAGAAAACTGAGATTACCCTAATTTGTTCACACCATAGAACAATCCTGAGCCCATGAAGTGGATTTAAGTGCAAATCCTGTTTATCCAAAAGTTTCCACCACCCTCCGTTAATTCCCAACAGCATAGAGGGATGGCCAGGGACAGTCAGAGTAGTGCTCCATTCTGGTGTTCCCCAACTGCCAAAAGAAATCTTTGTTGGCTAACCGAAACTGCTGGAAAATAATTTCATAATAAAAAAGGCCATAGTTACCTCGATTTTTACACAAACCATAAAACTCAATGCTGATAAAGGCACTTTAAAATCAAGAGTCGGAGAAGTCCCCCGAAAGAGGAAAGTAATGTAACTTCTCAGTGTCATAAGAAAACCACAGAGATATAACAAGGATAAAATGTAGAACAATACAGTAATTTTAGCTCTAGCTCCCCACTGCATAGCTTTTCATTTATTTTCCTCTCATTGTATTCTCTTCTTTTTTATTTCCTCAGAATTTGTAGTGATTTTCCCCATCACAAGCTCCCTCTCAATTGCATCTATTTCTTCTTTGTCTCACAAGGTAGCTGAGGTTTCATTCTGCTCTGATACAGTAGGAACCACCTGGTCCATTCTTTGGAATAATGCAAAAACATAAAAAAAAACCCAGAAAACCCATTGCCCCTGTCTAGAGGGGGGACAATAACGATAGAAATAAAGATTTGTTTTTAAATGCACTGGATTTTACTACAGTAACTTTTCCCCAATTATAAAACAAAATGGAATACTTTCTTACCTTTAAGGGTTTGAAAAGATTGCCTTTGATTTCTATTATGTTGAACCCCAGATTGAGCTCAGTCAGATTGGTGCAGGACTCAAACACCACATCAGAGAGCTCATGCAACTCATTGTGTTTCAAGTTTATAACGGTTAACAGAGGCAGACTTTGGCACAGTTCTAGCTGTAGTTTGGATATGCTGTTGTATCCAGCATCCAAGTAAATCAGCTTGCTGTACTTTGTAAGATTTGCAGGTGGTAGCTTTTTTAGCTGGTTGTGAGAAATGTCCAAACCTGTTATATTAATAGGGAGGTCTGAAGGAATTTCAGTCAGTTTTAGATGACTGCAGTCAGCCACTTCATTTTTAATCTTACATTGGTTCTCAGCTGATACACACAGCAGAGAGATCGTCAGGAGACTGGACAAGCAGATCCAACAAGGAAGGGCTCTCATTGTTGCATCTGCAAAGGTGAAATGAACACATGCAGCACATATAATCATTTTGATAAAAAGCATACATAACAACTACTGCAAGTAAATCAGGCTTCTAATCAAGTTCTCTCACCTACACTACACACATGCTATAATACAGGCAGTCCTTGACTTACAACATTTCGAGTTACAACGTTTCACACTTACGTTTATAAATTGTTTATAAATCAGCTACCCTGTTTCAACTTTATGACATCAGTTTCAACTTATGACGCTTGATCCGATGCGACACCATGCCAGTGAACAAGTTTGCTGCATCGCTCATCTCCCCGGAGAACATCT